TTCTAAATGTAAGCTAGCCCAAACCTTTTGATAACACACAAAGCCAAGGCCAGAGAAGTTAAGTTCCTTGATCAAGGGCCCAAATGTCCTGACTGCAAGACTAGCATTTTCCAGTAATTCACAAGACACAGTCAAAATTAGTACCTTGGAGGGAGAAGGTAATTATATAAATTATGTAATTACTCAACCTTAAGTGAAGAAATAGCTAACAAAATTCCAGATACTGAGAGAGAATTGAAGTGCAGAGTTTAAAATTTTACTAATCCATAGGGAAACTGCAGACCATTTAAAGTATTTTGTTACACAGTAGTGATAACCATTGAATACTTAGGAGAAATGCAATCTGGTTAACAAAGTCGAGAGCCAACTGCAGGAGAAAGGAACACCTTTCTCAAAATGTCCATCAATGACAGGATAGTTAATTATATTATGATTTGTCACTGGAAGTAAATAAATTACACTTGCTTAAAAAATGGGATGAGTCTATATTAAAGATTTCATGTTAAATGTCTACATTAAAGGCATTAAAAGATCTTCAACAAAAATGTTGATTTAGATTACACATAGTATGATAGAATCTATGAATCAAAACTCTTTGTAAAGCTACATATATCATATAAAACGGCTATATATGTAAATACATGGACCTAAGATCTTGAAACCAAACAACTAATAATCAAAATCTCTGCAAAAAGAAGTAGGCTTGGGAGGACAGTAGGGATAATTTGAAGGGGACTTTAATTTTATTTTTATACATTGATTACTTTAATATCATTTGTATTTTATGATGATAATATTTCCATATTGCTCCTAAAATTTAAAAATATATAGCTGGATGACACTTTGAAAAATTAACTGAAAAGTTTTTTATCACTTCTTTTTGCTGCTGGATTTTTCCCCATTCAGTCAGCTAAGCACTTCAAGTTCATTGCATTAGGAAGATAAAGACCCAGCAGAAACAAAGGAGAAAAAAAGGAAAATTATTGGCTATGGAATGTCAAAAGCAGAAACCACAGGAGAACAGTAAAGACTCCTGTGAACAAACAATAAATCACTTCAATTATAGAAAGATTTCCCTGTACTGGAAGGTCAGAGAAAGGGAGAAAAGTGTTGAGGGAGAAAGGTTAGCATGGCCAGGGACAAGAAAAACTACTTTAAAGACTATATGTCCGGGAAGACAATCAGTATCTACAGACTAGCCAGCCTGCACTTGACCTGCACTCCAGCCACCACTCCCAATCACAGACACTTGGAGAAACTTAGAGAACTCTGCCTGCAGCTGGTTTGGAACCCATTCCATTAAGCATTTTGTGCCTGCAGAAGAAGCAAGAACTATATTAGATCCTCCCTGTGAACTCTCCACCTTTCAGAAACCGAAATGCTCCTTGTACTCCAGCAAAAAGGAGAAGAGAGAAGACTTGGAAGAATATGTGGAAGATTTGGGTGGCAGGGGACATGCCTGGAAGTGTGGCATTTATCTCTTCTACCATATTCTATCAGAAAGTTCTGCCGCATGGCCCCACCTAAGTGTAAAAGAGAATAGGAAATATACTTCATGTAAATGCTCAGGAGGAAAACAAATACAGATTTTATGGGCATACCGCAGTGCGACAGTCCCAGATGGCACATCAGTATGGTGTGCCCAACTAAAAGCATCTTCAACAATCATGACATCACTGTTTCATAAAGTTCACATTTGAGAGGTAGCTGACTCGATGACTACAGGTCCCTGAGTAGGACTTGCTGTAATTCTTTTGGCTATCCCCTCATGTTTGAAAGACAGTTGTCATACCTGTAGGCATTACACCTTCCAACATCTACCTTCAAAGACAAGAAGGAAGGGGTCAGGGTTTTTCACCGTGAGTCACTCCCTTTTTATCAAAGAGGAAAACCTCTGCCAAATGGTCCCCAGCAAACTTCCCCTTACTACTTATTTGGTAAAAATCAATCACTAGAAAAGTGGAATGAACCAATATGACCAGCTTCAATAAATCAAGATTCATCTCCTGGGGCTGTGCCCAGTAAAGCTCAAAACCTGAACAAAATCAGAGTTCAGCTAGCAGGAAGCAAAGAGTGATATTAGAACATGATCTACCAAAGATGGTAAATGAAAAACACAGATGAAGGGGTAGAAATCATTCCGAACCTCTCAGTCTTTGAAATAAACTCACTTACTAAAAAGCAGATTGAATATTGTAAATACAGCAAAACAGTTCTTAGACAAAAAGCATATTAAAGCAGACTAAATGGAATTTAAAGCAAAAAAGGAATTAATAGAGAAAAAGTGCAGGGAAATATTTGACAAAAAGAAAATCCACCAAAAAAAGTACAAAACATTAATTTTCACGCGACTTGTAATATAGTTTCAAAATATATGAGCTAACTCTGTACAAATATAAGGAGAAATTGACAAGTTCACAATCATTGTAAAATATTTCAGGCTATACCAGAAACTGGAAGATCGGACTTAAAAATAGAAAGGATAAAAAATATTTGAATAAAATAAAGGAGACTGATTAACAGATATGCATATGAACTTGAATCCAATAGAGAATACACATTATTTTCAAGTACATATGAAACACTTTTTAAATCGATTATGCACCATGTTACAATAAAACTTAAGCAACTTTAAGATGTATTCCTATGTGATTCACAGATTAAAGACAATATCAGAATAGAAATTATAAAACATTTAGAAATAAACAACAATGAAAGTATAACACAAAACTTGCAGAATACTACTAAAATGGTATTTCAGAAAATTTGCATAGCTTCATATGCATTTATTTAAAAGAAGAATGATTAAAAATCAGTAAGTTAATTGTTCAATAGATGCTGGAAAAAGAAAACATTGAGTAAACCTATAAAAGAAGGAAAGAAATAATAAAGGCATGATTAGAAAATCTAAAAAAGAAAATAATACAAAATATCAACACTACTAAAAGATTTCATTTTCAATTATTAAAATAACAAATCTCTGGCAACACTAATCAGTTGAACTAGGATAATGCATGCAGGGCTTCATACCTAGGTGATAGGTTGATAGGTGCAGCAAACCACCATGGCACACGTTTACCTATGTAACAAATCTGCACATCCTGCACATGTACCCTGGAACTTAAAATTAAATTTAAAAAAAAGGATTAAGTGAACCCCCATTCCACAGAAGCTCTTTCAGGGATGAGAGGAAAAAAATCATGGCATAGGAGATAGCTAATTTTGTTTTTTTTAAAAAATGGACGAGGATAATGTAAGAAAAAAAATTATACTCTGATTTTATTTTTGTCATAAAAATCCTAAATTTCTTAATAGCAAAGTGAATTCAACAATTCAGTAAAATCAAACAATAATGGTAAAATGAGGTTTATTTCAGAGAGGCCAGGATCGTTCCTCATCCAAAACCCTATGATGCATTACACAAAATTAACAACTAAAGGAACGAAATCATCTGAATAGATGCATCAAACTCACATAAAATTCAACAATCATTCTCACCTTTTTAAAAAAATTAGGTTATTTTTATGGTCACTATTCTTTTATATTATATCAGAGGTCCTAGCCTGTTCAGTAACAGAAGAAAAATAAAAGTGCTGTCTAGAAATAAAAAGGAAAAAACTAATTCTTTTTATTTGTATTTAATATGATTGAATATAGAAAAATACGGAATACTATACAGAAATACACCTAAACAATTTCAAAAAGGTGGCTAGATGTGAAATGAAAATTTAAAATATGCATCAGTAATAACCAATTCTAAACTATAATAGAAAAAATATGCCATCTAAGGAGACTGAAAAGAAAAGATACCTTGGACCGCATCGAATAAAAAGTGTATATAACATTTGTGGAGAAAAGCATTAATCATTATTGAAGAACAAAGAAAGAAAAAAAGTACTTGAACAAAGGAAGAAATACACAATGACAATTACTACTAAACTGAAACATCTATATACTTCAGCACAGCAATGGATGTCTGGGTATACATCCTAGAGAGAGACTCACACTCTATGGTAATAGAGGAAATTTGGATGCAACTAAAATTTCATCAAAAAGATAATAAATTAAAAGTTGGCATATTGATAGAATGAACTATAATACAGTAGTAAAAATTAGTTAACTACAGATATGTGTATGACAATGGATAATCTTAAAAACCTGCTTTTTAATAAAAACAAGTTGCAAAGTAATAACGAAGTACAATGGTATGTGAAACTTTCAAGATATTCAAAACATTTTATATATTTATATAATAGTATAAAACACGCACAGAAGTATTAAAAAATACTCCAAATCCATATGAAAGGCAATGGAACAGGGGACTACGGCTGTATTTGTAATCATTTTTACTTCAAAGCCATCTGAAGTAAATGTAGAAAAGTGCTAAGCTTAATAAAGCGGGATGATGGAAACATAGGTATGTAGTGGAGTTTGTCATGGTCTCATGTGAAATGTGGCGTCCAGCCTTGAAAAAACTGTCACACAGAAGCCTAATCAATCCCAGGAGTTTGGGTATTGCTGCCTCTGGAAAAGGCTGGTAGATATCTTTAGTGCTAGTGTAAAACTTCGTTCACAAACCACTAGATAGATAGACGAAAATAATGAATAGGGCTGGGCGCCGTGGCTCACGCCTGCAATCCCAGCACTTTGGGAGGCCCAGGCGGGTGGATCGCTTGAGCCCAGGAGTTCGAGACGAGCCTGACCAACATGGTGAAACTTCGTCTCTACTAAAAAAAATACAAAATTAGCTGTGTGTGTTGGCACGTGCCTGTAATCCCAGCTACGTGGGAGGCTGAGGCAGGAGAATCACTTGAACTCAGGAGGCAGAGGTTGCAGTGAGCCGAGATCATGCCATTGCACTCCAGCCTGGGCAACAAAAGTGAAACTCCATCTCAAAAAAAAAAAAGAAGAAGAAGAAGAAAAAGAAAAAGGAAAAAAAAAAAAGAAAATGATGAATAGATAGTTAGATTAATTTGTTAATTAAATAATATATCCAGGGAAGGTTTGAAACACAACCTTTATTACATATGATGTTTACATGTTAGACTGAGTGCTGGTCCCTCATCTCCTTCATACCTTGGGCAGTCTGTCTGCTACTATCTCCATGGCTCTTTCTTCTCCCTGAAAGTGAAGAAAACAATTGAGGCAGAACAGGAAGAGGCAAGAAACAATATAAGCATCACTAGTCAGTTACCCTTCACCTTTGTTTTAAAGCTCAGAGTCATGCACCCCCACAGTGAGTTCGTTTCCAGATCAAATGCAGCAAAATGAAGGTTCTGAAACATTTCCAGGTCTCTTGGTATCTCATGAGGATGATGTTACCTCTCCAAATTCCCCTTTTCCTCAAGGGCTATATTCATGGGCTGAGGTGAGGTCCCAGCTCAGGCCAAAGGCTCTCAGACTCCACACCTCTGATCTTGCTGGCAGCCTGTCCTTTCAGGCCAATCCTGGCCCTTGAGGTTAAACTGAGTTTTCTCTGCCTTGAAGAGCTGCAGTACTTCCTCTTAGAATTGAGGACAATCATGGAGACATTGAGAAAGTTCCCAGTCAATGCTCTTCACCTTATCGTCTAAGCAAATGGAGGACAATTCCCCCAGAAGCACCAGGTGCACCACAAGTTGATGCAGCTGCAGAGCCGCCAGGTGACCCAGTGCATCCCTGCAGCTCCTTCCCTTGGATTCCTCTGGGCCCTCATGACACAGCCTCAGAAAACTGCAAATCTCACTCCTTACCTCTTGCAAGAGAAGGCCACACCATCTTCCAGTATCTTCTGGCCCATAAGTCTCAGCTGCTGTGTGAAAATCAAACCAAAGAAAGACACTTCTTAGTTAATGCAACCTTAGAAATTCTCAGAATTTCCTGCAGGAGCTGGAAAGGTCAAGACAAGTCCTGACTTACAATCAAGACTTTATTAGATGCCTAGGCAAGAAGCAGGGATCCCAGTTATGTCCCCTTCCATTGTTCCCTGAGCCAATAAAGCCCCCAAATCTCCCTTACAGAGGGAGCCTGAACTGGGGAGAGAGTACTGGCTCAGGGAAGCCATTGCTCCCTCAGCGGTCCCACGACCCAGCCCTTGCTCACTTCCTGTCCTTTGGAAGGTCCTTTGGAGAATGAAACACACAGCCTGGACATTGGCTCCAGGATCTCCTCAGGCCAAGGTCTTCCCCTGTAGGCTGCCCCTCCTCCTCCTTCTTTGCTGCTGGTTTCTCTTCCTCCTCCTCCTCATTTCCATTTTCCTCCTCCTGCTCGTCTTGGGTGCTCCCTGATTCCATGTTGCCTGTCAGCTGAGCCATGGTGAGATGAAAGACGTGGCAGCTGAAGCCCTCTCTGATCCCATATTGCACATGCTCCTGGAGGATTTCCACGGTGGCAAAAACCCGGCAGCAGGCCATGCACCTGAAGCCGTTCTCCATGGTCACCAGCCAATCAGGAGTCTTGGCCCTGGGTGTCTCCTCCACGGTGGGTGAGCCTGGCAGGCTGTCTGATTCTGTCCTTTCCTCATGCTCTTTCTCCTCCCCGCCGGGCTCACTGTCAGACAGGAGGTTTCTGGTGGACACATCAGAGGGGGGAGTACCTACCCTCACAACCTCAGGAAGGGTCACTTCTTCCATCCTTGGCTGCTTTTCTAAGGACTCCGAAGTTTCCTCTGTCTCCCAGGAGACAGCCACACCTTTTTTCATTTGTACCTGCATGTAGTATATTTTCATGCCCCTTTCCTCTTTGTTTACACACAGAGAGGACACACAAGTCTTATAGGACGAATGGGATGACAAGGAGACATGTTGTGAGCAGGGAGGAGTCTCTCCTCGTTCCTGAACCTGGGCCAGGGGTGACTGAGGCTGGGGGCTGTCTCGATGTAGTCTCTGGATTCCTGGAAAAGGAAATTAGAAACATGAGCAGATGCACGGGCCATGCCAGGAACTGGGGGAACATACGCTGAATATGTGTGGTGCGGGAGAGAGGGACTGTGGTGTGATGCAGCTGTGTGGTGAGCTTGGTGTTTGTTGTTCATATTGTGGGATAGTGATTCTAGTGTCATTTGTGTGTAGGGATGTTGCTGGGATGTCTGTATACAGGGGTGTGGAGTATGGTGGTGAGGACTGCAGCTTATGTGGAATGTCGGCAGCATGTGTGCGCTATGAGTATGTGAGTCGGTGCCATCACTGATGTGTTATTTGTGGAATGTGGGAGGTAGTGTGGGAGAATGGCACTGCAGGTCACGCATTTGTCTGGGATGTGTGCAAAGAGTGTACCTGTGGAGCGTGTGGCTGTATGTGTGAGGTGTGTAGGCCTGAGCTAGAGTCCTGCTGCAGTGCTGGAGGCCTGGGCTGAGGAACTCTGTTTTTCTCTGGAAGGCAAAGTCAGAGCCCAAGTAGTTCCGCTGAAGGTGCTTCATCTGGTCCTGTGGCCCTACACCCCAAGAGCAGACTTTCCTGGCCTCTGCTCCCTGACTGCCTGACTGCACACCAGGGCTCATGCTCTCCTACACTGAGCTCATATCCATGCTCCTCTAACAGCTCTGTATCTTGCCCAGATACCTCTGCAGAGCTCTGATCATATCCAACTGCCCTGGGTTTCCTCTTAGCCTCATCCTTGGATCTATGGGCCTCCTGTCCCCTACCCAAGGAGCCCTGCACCCAAAATGTCCCAGACCTAAGGAGCCCAGCACCCAAAGAGTCTCATACCCACAGTGCCCTGTATCCAGAGTGTCGTGCTCAAGGAACCTCACACCCAGAGAATCTCACATCCAACGAGCCCCACACCCAAAGAGTGTCACACCGAAGGAGCCCCAAACCCAAAATGTCCCACTCCCAAAGAGCCTTACACTCAAGCAGCACTGCAACCAAAGAGTCTCATGCCCAAAGAGCCCTGTACCCAAAGAGTCCCAGTCCCAAAGAGCCCCACACTCAAAGATTTTCATGCCCAATGAACCCCACAGCCAAGAAGCCACATGCCCAAGGATCCCTGCACCCTTACCACCGTGGAAGAGCTTGCGTGAAGAAGAAACACAGGAGAAGTATTCGGAGGTAGAAGTAACTTCTCCCACCCCTTGGCTCCAGCCTTTGGCCACTCTAGTGGATCCAGGCTGCAGGGCATCCTCTTGGGACTTTGACATTCCTGAGAAAGGTATGAAGGGCACAGAGATATGGTGGATGGGGAATGTTTGTGCATCATTTACCCATCCAACAAATATTTACTGAGTGGCTGACATATGTCAGGTGTGGTGAACACACATGGTTTGTGAGACAGCCTTCTGGTGGATACTCCAATATTTAATTACAGTCAACAGGTGTTTTGATAGTGTATCATTAGGAACGTAGGCCTGTGTGGTGACTATGAATAGGTCTGAAGTGTAAGAGTGATACATATCAGATAGCCTTTGATATGTGTAGGTTTGTGTGGGTATATTATAGAAACATGTGTCTGTGTCTATGGAGTTTGTGTGCATAGTTTGTGTTTACAACCCTGATTATATGGTGTGGCTTGTATTTATAATGTACATTAATTCATTCATCTGGCAATATTTCATGAACAGCTACCATGATCAGACACCAGTCCACTCTTCTAGGCTCTAGGAATACTGAACAAAACAGTCCTTCTTCTCAGTGGACTTTCCATTCTAGACAAGAAGGCAGACACTAAGCAGAAATATAAGTACATCATAGGTTAGCTCATCATGAATATATAAGGGTCACCAGATCTAGCAAAAAAACAGCTGATGCCAAATTAAATTTGAACTTTAGATAAATTACAAATAATTTTTTAGTGTAAGTATGTCCCATGCAATATTTGTCATACTTATCTTTAGTGTCAGTATGCTCCATACCATATTTGGGACACACTCATACTAAAAAATCATTGGTGGTTTATCTGACATTCAAGTTTAACTGGACATCCTGTATTTTATCTGGCAACCCTAATAAGGGCATGGTGGTGAATCTTTGTTTCATTGTGGTCTATGCAAAGCAGGTCTGGCTCTGCTACACAATGTGTTACAGATATGGCATGTATGATGTGTGACTGGCTCTTAAAGAGGTATTTAGAGATAGTTTAAGGTAGCTGTGTTTGTGTGAGAGTTGGGGAGACACACACACACACACCCACACACACATGAAATCTCTGTAGGAAGAAAAGACTGTCACACACATGGGTTGTGTGAGTATGTAATAGAGGAACGGTATGTGTATCTAACTGTATGCACTGTGTGTGGAGGTGTGTGACTCTTTTTCTGTATCAGAGTACATATGGGCATATGAGTGACTGTCTCCTGGAATACCCTTAACAAAAATTCGGTACACGCTGTTATGTGTATTGAGTGTTGCCCAGGCCGAGGCATGGTGACAGAAAGCTCACCCTGCAGAACCCACCACTGTGCTCCCATTATCTCCAGTCCTCCCCCTCCCAACACACACGCGCGCACACACACACACACACAGAGACAGACAAATTCTGAAATGTAAGGGTAGATGAAGGAGAGGAAAACCATTGCCTTCCCCTTCCTGTCCCAGCCCCCTGCTCTCCATGCCTATTCTTCATGCCTCCATTCCCAGGGCTCAACCTACAGGTCTTTATGACCTTGGGCCTCATAGGCGCTGCTGAGCTCTAACTGGGGCAGAAGCCTCGAGGGCCATCTCTGGGGCAGGCTCCTTTCTGCCCTGTCTCCTGCATGTGACCATCCCCCTTTCAGGATAAGCGGCTTCTTTACATTTAATACCTGCCATTATCATGCAGCCTGGGAAGTAAACTGACAGCAATCGAAGACCCTTACCCTGGTGTCATTTCCTCTGGGATGTCCCACACTGTGGATTCACAAATTCTGTTGGATTAATTGGTTAATTCTTCCTGCTGAAAAATCAAACCTCCGTGGTTTCAGTATGACGCCATCCCCAAACAAGGGTTTAATCTACTTTCTAACAAGCATTTCGCTTCTCAAGATATTTTTCAACAAGGCCTTTAATTCATTGGGCTACTCTTTCGTTTCTGCTAAAAGGGGCAGTGCAACTCATAGATTTCTACCAGCACCCTTCACACCTTCCACCTCGGTCACCCCAGGGAAAGAGCAAATAAAGAAAATGAGAGAAAGAGGAGACTCAGGCTGCATCACTGGGTCTCTGTAAGTGGGTCCCCGACCTGCCTGGAGACTGACATAGTTCCAGGTACCAGCAGCCCCAGAACAAAAGTTCTCAGCCCAGCAGGGCTGGCTTTCTGTATCGTGTGCCACTGGCATCTGGACTTCCTGTCCATCTCACACCAGGGTACCCTCAAGATGGATGTGCCGGCATCAGCCAACAGCCAGGTCTCCCCCTCACTACCGCATAGGTAGTACATTCTCCTCAGTTCCTCCTCCCTAAACAAGGCTCAGGCTGGCCGGGTGCGGTGACTCACGCCATTAATCCCAGCACTTTGGGAGGCCAAGGCGGGTGGATCACGAGGTCAGGAGATCGAAACCATCCTGGCTACCAGGATGAAATCCCGTCTCTACTAAAAATAAAAAATTTTTTTTAAAAAATTAGCTGGGCATTGTGGTGAGTGCCTGTAGCCCCAGCTACTCGGGAGGCTGAGGCAGGAGAATGGCGAGAACCCAGGAGATGGAGCTTGCAGTGAACCAAGATCGCACCACTGCACTCCAGCCTGGGCAACAGAGCAAGACTCTTTTTCAAAAAAAAAAAAAAAAAAAGGCGGCCGAGGCAGGTGGATCAGGAGATCAGGAGATCGAGACCATCCTGGCTAACACGGTGAAATGCCATCTCTACTAAAAATACAAAAAAATTAGCCAGGCGTGGTGGCGGGCACCTGTAGTCCCAGCTACTCGGAGGCTGAGGCAGGAGAATGGCATGAACTCGGGAGGCGGAGCTTGCAGTGAGCCGAGATCGCACCACTGCACTCCAGCCTGGGCGACAGAGCGAGGCTCCGTCTCAAAAATAAAATTAAAAAAAAGGCTCAGGCCGGCCAGTGACGCTTGTGACCCAGAGAGTTTGCCCAGCACATACCTCCTCCCTTCTCAGTGGTTTCCTGGGACTCTTCATTTTCCAAATGTTTCCTCTTTTGTCGTCGTTTCATGGTATCAGCTAGAAGAGTTTCTAGAAGATGCTTAAAGTCCACCTCCCGCTTTTTTCTGTAGATTGGCCCTTCTTGGCTCTCAGGAAATTCATTAAAAAGATTCAGTATGAATAAACGTAGTTGAATCTCCTAAATAGCTGAAGAACTCAAGACCGCTTAGTGAACCAGCAGCACTGCCCAGTGCTCACTACATTGCAGGGCTGTTAAGGTTCAAAGGTCACCAGGCCCACAGCAGATTCTCTGACCTCAAGGATGGCATCACAGCGTTCTGCGGACCTAGGTCCAACACAGTCTGTGCAACTGCAGAGGCCTCCTTTTCAAGAACAATTCCTTTTTTCCAGTAGAAGTCCTCTAATGAATTCAACTCTCCTGTATTTCAAATGTGGCAGAATATTTTGAGATGTTAACATGTTTCTGTTTAATTTTTTTCTTTTCTCCTTTTTTTTCACCCTTTCCCTTCTGGACTCAAGCAGGTAGCACGCTTTGTGTTCATTGCTCAGAGGAAGGGTATGGCAGGGCTGAAAGCAGCAGTAGCATGTTAATCATCTTGACTTTTCTTTCTTTGTTTTTTATTTGTTGCTGTTGTTGTTGTTTTTATTTTGTTTTGTTTTGTGAGAGACAGGGTCTCCCTCTGTCACCCAGGCTGGAGTGCAGTGGTGTGATCATAGGTCACTTCAGCCCCTGGGCTCAAGTGATCCTCACACTTCAGCCTCCCAAGTAGCTGGAACAACTGGCACCAGGCATGAACCACCACACCTCGCTAATTTTTTTTTTTTTTTTTTTTTTTTTTAGAAACAGGGTCTCAGTATGTTGCCCAGGTTGGTCTTGAACTCCTAGCCTCAAGCTCCCAAAGTGCTAGGATTACAGGCATGAGCCACCACACCCACCACACCCTACCTGACTTTTATTTCTAAAATCTGAAACTCCATAGGAAAGAGGAAAGTTAGCAGAAACATAATGGAAGCAGGATTTTTTTTAATTAGGCATGCCCCCTTCTTACTCTACTACAGTGTTGAGAGGTACTGATTAGGTCAGGGAGAGAGAGAGATCTTCAAACTATGGAGGAGAGGAACCCTCTGAAATGTGGCTGAAGAGGTACAGGCGGCAAAAACCTCAAGAAGGGCTGGCTGTATTATGCATACAAGCAGAATCATGGCAACCTATCTCACACATGGCATAGGAGCCACACCACCTAAAGATGCCCTGGCAACTGAGCTGATGGGCATCTAAACTTCAGCTGTATGCTCCAATAACCAGAGACTGTGCTCTCACCCCACCCTCAAAACCTCAGCCCTGTATGATTTCCAAATAGGGAGAGGTGGAAATCCAAACAGGACATCAACAGAACCAAGGCTTAAATTACAAATTAAATGGAGTTATATAAGAAAATTGCATACTATCTCCTGCACATCTCTGCTCATAGGCTGAAATGTATACCAGTTATAAGTGGCAACTCATCTGGATTTTCCTGATTCCAATCTAAAATTAGAGATACCTCATTTGGGGCAGTGACCCCAATCCAGTGGGACTATTAGTTGACAAGTATGAGGGGGATTCCCAGAAGTCACTGCATTAAAAAAGCAGTAGAAATACCCAGAGGACCAAGGTAGGCCCAAATTTGAAAGGGCACTGCAGACTGTCCCCAGGCAGAGGGAGAATGAAGATAGGGCAAATGTAGCCTTGTGAAAAATTGCTGATGAGATTAAATCTCCAGTTTCTTAAAGAATCCCTAAAAAAGAGGGGCCAAGGAGCATTTTTTGTGTGGTAAAAATTTTCAGACTAAAGTAGAGAGAATTGTGTAATAGGAATGCAGCTTCATGTACACATAATCCAGTTTCAACAGTTATCAGTATTCTGCCATTCTTGTTCCATCCACTGCATACACACACTTTTAATCTTTTGTTCATTTCTTTTTATTTAGGTATTTGAGATAGAGCAGTGGGGGATTTGCTGTATTTTAAAGCAAATTCCAGACATTATGTCATTTCTCCTTGAAGGCAGCAGTATGTACCTCCAAAGATATGAACTTTTAAAAAGGATAACAGAAATATCATTATCTCACCAAATGAATTTAACCATAATTATTTTATATAATTTAATAACCAAGTCATACTCAATTTCCTCCAAATATGCTAAAATATCTTTGTATAACTGTGTTGTTGAGATCAAGATCCAAACAAAGTCCACACATTGCGATTGGTCAACATCACATCTTTTAATCTACAACAGTTCTCCCTCCTTTTTAAAGGCATTTACCTGTTGGAAAAAACTAATTTATCTTCCAGAATTTTCCACAGTTTGGAAATGGTTGATTGTGTCCTTGTGATGTTATCTAAGATGTTCCCCTATTAGCTGCATTGCCTTGTAAACAGGTAGTTAGGTCTAGCTAATTGATTAGTTTTAGATTCAGTGACATGGGAAGCTTGGAGAGTTTTGCATGAGAAATTACATTTGAAAAGATCACTCTAGTAACTGTGTTGAGAATAGACTTTTAGAAGGCAAAGGCAGAATCAGAGAGAACAGTGGGCCTTTTGCAATAATCCAGGAGAGAGATGAGACTGGTTTGGATCACAAAGTTGGTTGTGAAAATAAAGGATAA